GGATCTCGAGACAGGTCTCAGCAAGTTAATAATGGTACCCCAGACAGGGCATTTACCAGTGCAAATCAGGGTCTTGGTACGTTTTTCGGTTCAGAAGGGTTATCTGTGGGACGGTTCACCGTCTACTACGGTTTTCCTTACCCTTGTACCCCTAGTATTTGGTTTCAAAAAATGAATTAGGAACACTTACTCGTGTATCTGTTTATTGCAATAGTTGAATCTGAACAATTCAAATACTTTTCGCTAAAAGACAACAATCTGCCGAACTTGAATATGTCTTTATTTGCTGCGAAATGAGAGACGTGAGTGAATAACTGGTTGTCGCTTATTTTTTGAATGGAGTGTTGTTTTTGTATGCTCGAACATAACTATTATATTCTTTTATATCTATAACATGCATGAATGATTCCGTCGCTGTTTTTTCTCCTTCAAAGATAAATCAAAAAGATAAATGATTTTTATCGATCATCATTACTTATAATTGACAAGTTAGTAACGGTCATGTGTAGAGTCATTGAAGCGAGGAAAAGTTGGAAAAAAGCAACATGAGAGTGCACGACGAAACAAATTCAAGTTGCTAAGCAAGTAGTAGATATGGGACCAAACGGCAACAAGAGAAAATTTGATAGTAAAAACCAAAATTATTTCTGTTTATTGTGGGTGAGTGTGTGAGTGTTGGTGTCGGAGCGGGTGTGTGGGTATAGGTGAGATTGTGGGTGTGGGTGTGTAGGGTGTGGCAAGTGGGTGCGAGTGTAAGGGTAATAAAGGAAGAGAAACACCTACACCCACACCCCACCACACACCTGCACCGACACCCACACTCTACCATACACCCATACCGGTACCCACACCCACACTCACATCCACGTCCACACCCACATCCACAGCCGCAGCCACAGCTACAGCCACATTCACACTTCCAACCCACACCCACTCACATCCATACCCGCACCCACCATCCCACATCCACACCCTCTCACACCCAGACCCACACTCACCCCCATCTACACTCTAGACTCACCCACACCCAGACCCACACCCACCCACACCCACCGACACCCCACATCCACACCCACACCTCACATTCACATCCACACCCACACCCACCCTGTGATGTCTGAGATTGCTCTTGTTCATCTGAAACAGTATATTCAAGTGACAATAAACGGGGTTGCTTAGAATCAATGTTCATAGGTGTACGTGGAATCTTTGCCTCAAGCCTTATCTTACAATACGAGTTTCAGGGTGTCCATGGGTTGCGCAGTTTATATAGATATCTCTACTTATGTATATGAATTATAATGCTGTGTTTTTAGATCTTTTTTGAATGTTATAATTAAGAAAGTCAATTTGAGTAAATACAGAAAAAAAATAGATGAAAGGCTGGATTAAAAACTCATGAAGTTTCGCTTAATGATAGATATTTTTGGTTCATTGTTCTTTGCTGTTAATAAGACCATTAATAGTGGCCATTATTTGAGCAGTGGCTCCAGGATTGAGTGCAGTATAGGGTGATGCAACTTGTTCATTATTTTTAATAAATAAAAAGGTTGGTGTTGCTTCGACGTTGTATTTTTCAAAGATATCATTCTTGGAACGTTCCTTATTGCATTTGACGAAAAGAACATGATCTACATAATTAGCAAGTGAACTCCAATAATTAACAAGGCGTTGCATTCGGCTGTCTTTTTCCTTACGTCTAAGAGAAGAAGAAGCAGAAACCAGTTATAGTTATCAGTACATAAACTTACCGGTCAAAAAAGAAAGCGACAATTAATTCGGTCTTAGGAGTTAGCTGTGCCTGAATATTGTCGAAGTCTTCTAACGATTCAACGTCCTTGGCCATTATGAGAAAATATGGAATAGTTGCAAGTGTTTATCTATGAATAAATAATGCATGCATTTTGTGATGTAATAAATAAACAGGGCATAGACACATGACTCCATACTAGAGCAAGCAAACTAATATGAATAGCATTTAGAAAAATACAACTAAAACTTAAATAGAAACAAATGAGATAATATGAAAAAAAAATAGAATAAATTTTGTTCATGGTTTCTTGATTGCTGATGTCCGAAAGTTTTCGACTATTGATCGCAATTGCTGAATTTCATCATGCATCGTATCAATTGTACGACTAGAACAGACATAAAAGTAGGATAATCAACATATAGGATTTTAGAAATCGATTATAAATCCTCGAAAGATGTAATTAACCTGAGTAGTCTCTATACTCACTCTGGAATTTAGGAAAACGAAAAAAATGAAAACAGTTTTGGTTATGACCAGATGTAAAATACAAGTACTTACTGTAGTTTGTGTAGCAGTTCTAGAAGAAAACAATTCATATAGATTGGACTAGAACAATATTGACTTGTCATCTACACTATTTATCCAGTGTTTTGACAGCTTGAATAATTGAAACGTATTGTCGTTGATGTTTTCAAACTTACCTTGAATTCACGACAAATCCATTTTCTATTACTGATTTTGCATAGCTTTTCGTTGCTGCATCTTCAAAGGTATCCCAACGGTAGTTCAGTAATTCTTTGTTCATTGGAATTATTTCTTTCAATGAGAAAAAATATTATTTGGCACATATACTATTTTCTATTTCTTACTGAAAATTTTTGTTTTCTGAAGTCCTTCATCATCATGATTATTGCAACAGTAATTATGAGGTTTTATAATTATACAGAATATACGTGTTATCAAAAACCATATATGCGGCAAAATGGTCAGTGGTGGATATGAGAATATAGGTTTTCCGAAATATTCACGTATCAATAGATATCGCTGATATTGCCAATGAAATTTTGTATTCTCTTGAACGTTATTTATCGTAAAACTAAAAAGTTTAGAAGCAGCTTATGTTGTCTCAAATATCAAGTAAATTTACCCGAATACAGCAATAATCAGATTCAAGATAAGGATACTGATAAAGAGCATATGCCCTGCTAACAAAACATATGTAGCACTTGTTTCTGCAACATAAGTTCCATTTTTGTTTTCACTCATTTCTAAAAACATAATGACATATCTCTACGATTATTCTCAAAGCACTACTTGCCCTCAAGAACTTTATCACTACCACCAAATAAAAATGAATAGGGAGGATAAAGTATTCGACTAAATATCCCATGAATATTGAAATCGACTTTGTTAGGCATGATCATAGCGCGCGAAGCAACACCATAAGCAGAAATGGATACAAATACAATATATAAGAAAGAGGCCAAATCGTGTGTCTAAATAACAAGACAGGATGTCATTTTTAAAGACTTCAGTAGAGCACTTACCATAGCTTTAATCATCAAAAGTTTAGGTCCAAGATAGGTGTGTGAAATTACAAATTTCAAAGATCGTAAATACCACAATTCCAAATCAACAGCCATAATAATCCTTAGAATAATTTTTTTTGTGTTATATTCAAATAAATAGTAATACCTTACCTTGCAGCCCTTAACAAGTGTGGCGTATTACCCTTAGTGTGTCGCATTATGATGCCAGTATAAAACAGTGCGTATAAAGCAATATGAAACAGTTTTGTCATTCGTAATAGCAGTATTGATTCGACAATATTTTCACACTCATGCATATTTGTTACAAATGTACTATATTTCTAAACGATAAATGTAATGGCAGATAGATCTGCGACAGCTACCAGCTTCATAGAGATGGGCCGTTAAACTTATTTTTAAATTAAATTGACTTTTTCTACTTGATACTTAGTACTTAAATTTAAGTTTTCCATTAAAACTTAATCCCCATAAATCCGTAGATCGGCTCGATCTCGACTATGTTTCTTCCAGCCAATAGTGTGGAAAGCCCCTTCTGATATTTGATTAGTCCAATATTTTAACCAATCAGAACGCCGACAAACAAACCAGCAATTCTCGTTGTTGTTAGTCATGTATTAAGGATTGAGAATAGATTTCGCCACAAATTTCAAAAACTGAATCGTGGAATCTGACCTTTTGACCTCTGAAATCTTTTTATCAAACTTTTTAAAATATTGTTATTTTTGGAGGAATTGGCTTGTGCTCCAGAAAAATAGTCAAAAGCTAGTTGTATTTGACTCACGATTATCAGTTAATTACTTAACTATAAGTGAGTGAATTAAGTTGAAAACTTAATATTTGAAATTAAGCATTAAGCTTTTTATTAACACTTAATATTAAGAAATTAAGTTTACAGGGAAAATTTAATTTTGTAATATTCAGGTGTCAAGTTATATTACTTAATTAAGTGACGAAATTAAGTCGACTTAGACATGATGGTCCACTCCTACAGCTCAATGAATCGAAAGAGCTGCGCTCAAATTTATGTTAACCAGCTCTTTTTTTGTGAGTTGGGCCTACTGGTCAGCTCTTGTCATATGAACGGTATCCGATCCAGACCGAAAGGGAGACTTTCGCTTTGGCGGTGACTTGGATGCATCTCTAATAAGTTCTGTAGAAATCAAAACAAGCAGCCACTACATATAAGTTATGTCAAAAAAGCTGGTCACTCCGTTCCAGCTCACTCAAAAGAGTTGTTCACTTCGTACCCGCTTGTTTAAACGATATGGAGCTGTCGCACACCTATTGGCAGAAGATTCGAGGTGACGTTAAATTTTACCTGACGAATATGTTCCAAAAGAATTGTTGTTACTGTAATGATCACAAAAATTTCTGTCCAATGAGGAAGTTTCTTATTCAGTGGCGGATCAAAATGGTATAACATCATATAACTAAATATAAGTAGTAACCATACGTTAGCAATCTGTAAAGAAATCAAAGTTAAAATACATGCAAACATAGATTATGAGAAGAACAATCCTTACAAAGTCGTAGATCATTTTGATCATTGGGCATTCATGAAAGCTGATAAATCGTTTTAAATATGAACGACATGTTAGTTTCTGTGAACAGTCAGAGGGCATGCAATAATTCACACCATAGGGACACAGTCTATATCGCAATACTTTTACATAGAATATATATATAAAAAATGTCGCTTACTGTTCATCTTTATTCAATGATGACTGCTCTTGAGGTTCTTCTTTATTCAATGATGACTGCTCTTGAGATTCTTCTTTATTCAATGGTGACTGTTCTTGAGATTCTTCTTTATTCAATGGTGACTGCTCTTGAGGTTCTTCTTCTTGTTGATTGCGATAGACAACATAGAAGGGTGCAAGAACACCAAAACTTAATAAACCAAGGGTAATCATTGGCTTTTCTGCATCATTATGATTAATTTCATCAAGTTTATCGTACCATGCTTCATTCATGACTTGATTAAAACAAGCCGTCAATAAAAATTTCTTACTTTTAGCTGACACTGCAACCTAAGAGAAAAAAGGGACAACTAATAGCAAGCGAAATATTTCCAATCTCACATACTTGCGCACATGTTATTTTACCAAAGAGTGGTATCTGTCGTAAAATTAGTTCACAGGCTTTTGTTTCATTATGCTCATAACAAATATTGATGCACTTTGCTGCATATAATTCAAACTCGTCTGCTATATTCTTCATTTTTTCTGCGAATTGAATAATATTCGTCTTTTGTGAGTATCGTGTGAATATTTTTGATGCAATGAGTGCAGCACAGATTCTTGGTTTCAGATGAACAAGGAGTACTTTAGCTAATTCGACATGACCCATAAATAGAGCCCATAGAAACAAATCTCGCAGCTTGTCTTGCTGTGAATACTCTATAAAAAAGATGGTGTCATACTGAACCTTTGTGGGTTCTAGATTTGAATACCATTTTCTGAACCTTTTAAGGTTCTAGCAAAATATGGTTCTATCTCGCACTTTTTTTTCTACTTCCAAAAATGGCTCTAGTCTGGTAAAAAGCCGTCCATTCAACATACTTAGTCTAGTACTGCTGATTAATCCTATATTCAACTCCTTACTTCGATTCTTAATCCTTGAATCCTATATGTAACCCTCATTTCTATCGTTAACTCTTTGTTGCTCTATCTAGGCATGTCACAATACCAATACCATCAATACCAATACCATTTGATGCCGGTGGTATTGATGTTAGTATGAAAAATCGTTATTTTCGACAAGTAGTCTTTTCGTAATGCAAAATTCAAGTCCGTAAATTTTGAGAAACCGTCCGTGGATTCAGATTCCTTGATCCCTCAAGCCTTCGATCAAACTTTATAAGTAATCATTATTTTCGAAAAATAGCCCTTTTCTAATGAAATAATACAGATTTGGTTATTCTGCTAGGAAAAGATTATTTCTTGAAAATAACAATTTTCTATAAATTTTGAACGAAGGTTTTCGGGGTCGAGATTTGTGAATCGGTGTTTTTCATTAGGGTAAGGCTATTTCCCGAAAGTAACGAATTTTTATATCAATGCCAGTACCACTACCACTACCAATACCATTCAATACCAATACCGTGTTGGTATGGTTATCTCCCTAGCTATATCTAACGTCTTATTCCTACCCTTAACCCCTCATTTATATATCTAACCTCTTATTCTTATATCTAACTCCTGATTTCTACGCTTAACCCTTTATTCCTATATGTAACCTATTATTTCTATGTTTATCTCTTTAGCTATAAATCTAATAGTAATTTATGGATCTAACATCTCAATTCTATATCTGACCCCATATCTCTAATCCTAGTCGGCTCGAACTAGATTATCTCTTGTCGGCACAATAGCGGAGAAAAATTTTACTCAAATCTGATTGACTGGAGATCTTTCTCTGTCAAGCAATTCCATTTCAGAGAGCTTGATGTCCACTATAGTATGGAGAAAACATACTGTTATTCGGACCATATGAAAGGAAAACCCTATTAACCTCCATGTTGATCCGAACAATATGTTTTGTTCGTGGTGAGCGGACAACTGATCACAGGAAATTGATCATGGGACAACTGATCACGGACAATTGATCACGGATAATTGATCATGACAGACAACTGATCACGACGGACGACTGATCATGAATAATTGATCATAAAGGGAAATTGATCATGAAGGGTCATGAGATCATTGTTATCGTTTATCATATAAAAGATAATGTTATAGTCATTTTATCTTATCATTTATCATCAGAATTTTCGTCGTCATTCACATTGCTCGATATGACTCTCCAATTCGTCAAAAGTCAACGTGGATCTGACAAGCTTGTTCACGATGGATGGCTTCATACGGAGTATCGCCGATCTGATGAAGGAAAAATCTTCTATCGTTGCGATTGCCACAAGAAGACATCAGGATCATGCAAGCGAAGAGTTGTTGTCCAGAATTGAACTATCAAAGAGGTATGTGTCATAAATCCAATATTAATAACCAACTGTGTCTTATACAGGTGTTCGATGTTCACAATCATGCCGGCGATCCCACACTGGTTAATCGAGTAAAACTGGCCTACGCAGTCAAGCAACGGGCTGTATCGAGCCAGGAGCCAAGTCGTCGAATCATCGCCAAAGAGCTGCAACATGTGAGCGAGCCAGTTGCTGCGTCAGTTTCCGTGTCAAATATGGCCCGGAATATTCGCCGAAATCGACAAGCAATCGCCAACGTTCCAGTGATGCCTCAAAACCTTCTGGATCTCAAAATTCCTGAAGAGTATCAACATCTTAAAAACGACGATTTGTTCTTGCTCAATGATTCTGGCCCTGGTCAACACCGGACTCTGATCTTTTCGACCCAAAAAGACTTGAAAGCTCTCAGAGATTCGCCAAGCTGGGCTGCAGACGGAACATTCAGCGTTGCCCCACCTCTTTTCCAGCAATTGTACACCATTCATATCAAGCTAGGTTTCCAGTACGTCCCAGTGGTCTATATTCTGATGTCGGAACGCACCGATATGGCATACAGAAGAGCCTTGGAACAACTTCGTTGTCATTGCCCAACTATGGCCCCGACGAAGATGTACACCGATTTCGAACTGGCTGCTATCAATGCTTTTCAAAAAGTCTTTACCGGAGTGCAAATGAAAGGTAATTTTTCCCTATTATTGATATTGTTGACGACACATTATTCATTAATCGTTCATTCAAGGTTGTTACTTTCAACATTGTCAAGCAGTCTAGCGACAAATCCAAAATAATGGACTTGCTGTGCGCTATGGAACGGATGAGAAGTTCGCTACTCAACTTCATATGATTCCGGCAATTGCCTTTGTTCCCATCAACCGCGTGTGCAAGTACTTCGAGCTGTTATCGGACGCCTTGCCAGATGAAGTGGAGCCGATCCTTGCCTACTACGAAGACAACTACATTGGCCGCCGTCGTGGCAATCGACGAAGAAATTCACGCTATCTACACGATCTGTGGAATGTCTACAATGAAAGCTTGGGAGAGGAGCCGAAGACCACCAAAAGAATCGAGGGACGGCATCGTGCCTTTTCTGGATCACTGGGCGCCGTCCATCCAAACATCTGGAAGTTCATCGAATTTCTACGCTCGAAACAAGCTCTGAATGCGGCGAAACAAGTGGCCTTTGCAGCTGATCAAGAGAACCGTCCTCAGAAGAAATATGCGGATGCTGCTTCAAGAATCAAGAATATTGTTAAAAAATTCGAGACAACCCAACCTTTAGTCTATCTCAGGTCTCTTGCCTTCAATTTCAATTTCTAATTGATCTCTCTTCTTTTCTCTCTGTTCTTTTTTGTTTGGAAATAAATGACAATTATCAATTATCGAACAATTTTTTATGATCAACTGTTCAAGATCAGTTGTCCCTTATGATCAGTTGTCTATGATCAGTTGTCTATGATCAGTTGTCGTCATGATCAGTTTTTCCATGATCAGATGATCATGATCAGTTGTCCTAGACCCTTTGTTCGTACAATAGTTTAGAAAAACAGCCTTTTCCATCAGCAAATCAAAATGCAACAAGCATTTCTTTCATTATTGTACGAACAAAACAAGGATCGAGTAGTTTGCAATCTGATTGTTAAAAAAAACATTGGTGAAATTTGATTGTCTGAGAGAAAGTTACGCTGCAATCTGATTGGGTAAAGAAATACTGTGAAAATATGGGTGATTACCGATGCATACTGATCAGGAGCAGTGGATACAGGTGACGATGAACCGATGTATGATCTTCACCATTGCATCCCTACAGTTAAACGTTACTATTAACGACTTCAATGACGATTATCGCCTCTTTTTATTATTAGATAGGTAAAGCTATTCTAGATTTACGTTAATTAAGCCGCGTCCAAAAATGATCTATGTTAGTTCAAGCGACTTGCGCTAAAACCATCTTTGTAAAAACTACGTTCGGTATAAAAAAAAAGATGCGAGATAGAACTCTTCTCAACAGCTGGAATCATTTTTTATCTAGCATGGTTCTTTAAATTATCTAGAATCATTGATAGTTCATTAAAAACCGAATGCAACTTTAAAAAGTTCAAGAACTTCGTTAAAACCCTTAATGATTCCTTATGATACCTTTACCGTTTGAAGAGTCACGTCCCATTCTGAGTACCAAGTGATGCAAGTGCGTCATGATAGGCTTTGTCTTCATATAGCATCTACAAACTTTTTTAGTTACTCTATTCCAGTTGTGTTTGAGGCTATCCAAAATACTCGTTCCTAGCGATTTTTTTGAATAAAAAGGCTGAATAAAGGAACCGACAAATTGCTCGCAGAGTAGATCAATAACAGCCAGTGATTTAGGTTTCACTCTATCTTTCCCAGCCAATGTAGAGAGCAGGTATCGTTTCTAAAATATGAATATCTGATAGTTTTCTAAACCGATGTTTAGTGAAAGATATATACCGCATGCAGTTTGTCCCAGCTATCTTGATACAATTTTAAGACGTCGTTTTTCTGTAACGTGTTCAAAACGTCATCTTGAGATCGAAGTAAATAATCAACCAACATAGGTTTATTACTTCCGACTGAAGTAATAAAATGTTTTCCAATTTCTTCAGAGGACAGCTAATAACAAAATTTGAAAGTTTCTATGAAGTTAGACAAGTAAGAAAATGTGAATGTTATAGTATATTTCGTAAATAAAGGATTTAGTTATCTACCTAACAAACTGATCTCATTCATCTTAGATTTGTTTTTAAAGCTTAATGGGATGAACTTAACCCAGATTGAGTTCGAGCCTAAAGTAATTTTTCCATGATCGAGACCGGTATCGAGTCTACGGGATCAGAATTAACGTGTTGTTAGTGAATTGACTATTTCTTCACCATTTCTCAATCGTTTATCTATTTTCGTGTACTAATGTTAAGCAGACAAGTATCGAATCCATTTTGAATCCAAAAAATTAGCTAGAGAAACAACCTTTTTCCTAGAATTTCCTCTCAAATTCTAAGTTCACAAGTGTCTCCAAAATTTTCAGTCAGAGAAGACTTCTAGAAAGAATGAAAACGTATAAGATTACAAATAGGTTTACCGTTATTTTTCGACCTCACATTGTAGAATATATGTGGAGCAGTAGATTTCAAGAATGGAAACATTTTGATGCTGTTTTGGATATATTTCAGTGTTACATTATAGAAAATATTACTTCCATCTTATACAGCATCCTCACGCTGTTCCTATGGTACATGTTTTCTCGTAAAGTAAACAGAGTTCCTTCCAGAATTATGGAAATACATGATAAATTGAGACATAGTAGTGTATTGGACAATTCACGCAATAATCAGCTCAGCAGCTCAATATCCTATATCCTTGATAGTTATTGGCTGCTCATCGACTAAACACGTCAAAATAGCATGTAGTCTTATAAGTACTTCAACACTATCTTAGGAACGAAACAATAGATGTTCATGGGTCTTTCTAATGTTACTCGAAGTTTGAGAAACCTACAAAATGAAATCAATTAGTGAGAAGCACTATGTTGACCCAACTGATTATGTTTACAAAAAGTAGTTGCATCATGATGAAAAGTCATAAAATCGAACCAGTTCCATGACAATATTCAGAAACGTTAAGTCAGAATCGATTACGTGTGCTTTCGGAGTTCTATATATCCTATTCAACAAAGTCGCGTTTCAATGAACCCAATGATCAAGATCACAATACATCATCAAAAGAGAGAAAAAACACAAACGAATTTTTTGGTACTTGCTGATTCTAGTAACCAATCATTCTTGTCTTCTAATCTGTCAGCAAACGTTACGATACTAAATTTGTATCTTGATATCAGTAAAGAGAATTTCAAGGTTGTCTTTTTTACTGTGCAGAATTGGAGGAGGAACGAAAGAAAGTCAACCTGGTCATGAATTATTCTCGTGAGCAACGATGTATATTCATCTAATAAAAGTCTCAAAAATGGACTAACCTTTATTGATTTTGCTTTAACATCTTTAAGTATTTGCTTTACTGCTTCTAATGAATTCCATTCAATCGATAATTTTAGTAAGATGTCTAGATTTCCTTGTGAATGAAATTGATTTGCAAGCTGACCATGAAGATTGTTTTGATGTTCTGGAACCATCATTTTGTAGACTTAATATCATTAATCATATTTGATTTACTCATATCTCATACAAATTTAACTTACCTTTGAAAATTGCATTGAATATCGTTTCGGCAACATTCATATCTTTGTCTAACGAGTAAACATTCAAAAGATGACGTTTTTTCATGTCCATAATGATGGTTATCTCGTAACTACAAAGTCCGTAATCAGTAGGTATTCGGGAAGCGTCTGAGTTAGTCTCTTCATTTTGAAATTCTTTTTTTAGTCGATCAACGATTTCATCGTGTTGTGGAACACTAAAACTTTGAGCATGTTCTTGTGAAAAATATAAAAAGGTTTTCTCTTACCCATCAGGATTTTGCTCGAGCAAATCGCTTAATACATCAGCCATTCTACCGCTACCCTGAGGGAATATAAAACAAAAATTAAAACACTTGGTTAATGTTATATTATCTCTTTCTTACGTCTATAATCACAACAGGACGATTGTCTTCTAAATCATTTAGTATCACGTCCAATGTGTTTATACCTCCTTCAACAATAACTGTTACCGCATAGCCTAAAACCGAAAAACAACGTCAGAGAAATATTGCATTATTATATTATTGTGTTCTCACATTTGTTTTCATTGTTGGATGCCTCTTGTACGAACTTAAGTCGCTGTTGATCGCCTATATAACCATCTAATTCACCATCATCGAACAATAGCATATATGTATGATGTGGTTCTATTGTCTGAGTATCAGTTGTTGTCAATATTTCTCGAGGAAATTTATAGTCTTCTTCGTTTGCGTCATCAGTTATGCCATTTTCTTGCTGTGTAAACTAAAAGAGAACAGAACTATTATATTCTAAATCTTTTCTCAATTGACTATTGTACTTTTTCCGATAACAGATCTCTAGTTCTTGGAGTTAGAGTTCCCCATTTTGTTAAACCAATACTGACTATGTCTTTTGAAAGGCGATTTAACATTCGGTCTTGTAATATCGCTTTGCCAACCAATTTGGCAACACCACTGTTTAAACCAGTAGTCAATATCCATCCATCTTCAGAAAAAAGAAAGTTATTCCGCCGATGAAATTACAGTTACAAATCAAGCCTTTCACATGTATAAGCTCATAATCTTTCGTTTATATTTTCATACTTTCGTTATAATCCTTTTCATCATTCCAATATTAAGGTTGTTTCTTTATTCTTGCAATCTATGCACAAAGCAGTAAGCCTATCAATCTCTTAAGTTTTTCGTTCGTAATTATGCCGGTAGCAGTGTTCGACTCCGGTTGAATCACTAAAATAGTGTTTGACCTCGGATCGGATCGGGTTGAGTCAGAATAAATTGATCGATGTCGAGGTTTACATAAGAAAAATACGAGTTCCAGATGAGGTAATGACCTTGTTCTCATCAATTTTATCAGTACAGGGTGCGTAAAAATGTTTTTCCAGGGGGGGGGGGGGGGTAACACTATAATTTCAAATAGCATACATAATTATTTTTATACCAAATTAACCCTTTATCCTCCATTGGCAATTGGAATTGCCATTTCGTAGAATGATTGCAGGACATAAAGGAAGCATGGGATTTGAAAACAGTAAAAACATCTTTTGTAGTGAACTCCATGAACTATCGATTGATAAAAAGAATAATTTCTTTCATCGTTCCCCCTTTGAAATATTGGGCCAACAAAATTGATAATTTTGGAAAAAATGAGAAAAATCGAATTTTTCGAAACAAATCGTTCTCTACTTACAATAAGTAAAGGTTTTTCGGATTTTCTATGTGATATAAACTGATGAAACTGTTTACTAGTAAGTTAGATATGTTTTGAATGCATTGCGATAAGTTGGCCAAATGCACGCACTAACGCACATAACTGACCAAGAAGCCATTATGAGGCATCTTTAGGGCAATTGAGAGGCATGGTAATATATGTATTATAAACCACAGCTCATGAGAAGTTAGAATAATATTTATTTTGAATTAAATGTCTTCAAATGTTATTAAACGGCTCAAAGCAAAGTAGATGCCTATTTAAGAAAATGTGCTAAAAACGCATGCATTCTTTTGACATTAATTGGTGTCGTTTTATTCCCTCCGTTTTCCATGATTTCAGTAAGAAAAGATGTATGTTACTTTTGCTCATTCAATAATGTGGTCAAAGAAAAACAAATCAATACTTAACAAATCGTTCCATCCCTTTACTCCATCACACGGTTAGCCCACCAATTAAATGACGCTACACAAAGAGGTAGAGATTCACTGAATCAGACCACATAATTGTTATACTAGGCACGCTAATACTCCATTCATATAGTTATTTTATCAATGGCTCTTCCGGAACCACTGTGGGGGGTAAAGGGTTAAAGCGCGTCGAAAATGGGATTTTTTGATACTAAATTGTAAGGAT